GGGGGGGGGCATGCCCGACAGGGGAGCAATTCCCCCTCCCCTGATCCCGCCTTTGCTTGAAAAAATATTCTTGCAATGATTCTTGTACTGATATTTATTCCTTGCATGCGAAATTTAATAAGATTTTGATATGTTTTCATTCTTAATATTATTTTTACTATGAAAAAATGTAATGAAAAATGCAGTTTTGCTTAATAACTACTAGTGTAAATAGAAATTCATATTTTTTGAAGTTTTATAAATCTCTATTAGAATACCTAACGATTTTTACTCAATCGCGTAAACGATGAATTAAAAATGGATATTTCGTTTTGAAACAGTAGCGCTTAACAAAAGCTTTTTCTCCCTCTCAAAGAAAAAGAGCCATTATACATGAAAATATAATATCCACTGAATTGACGTTATATTTCGCATCTATAGTACTATTATATAAGTACTATATAAGTACTATAAATTATTTTTTAAATTCAAAGATATCATTAATGTGGATTAAAAAGGTAAATATGATTTGTTATTAACACGTATATCAACGAAATTGTTCTCATCCTACATGAACTTAGAACTGAAGTAAATTAAAAAGGATGCACATTTTTTTTTTAAAACTTGGCAATTGTATCTGGGAAATCACAGAAGTCAAAAGAGCTAGGAAGGAAAAAATATCAGTAGAAAGAACCTATTCAGTACCATCACAGGGGATATTGATAACAACCTTTGATGTTATATATCAACGTTATCATTGTCAAAGTTCAAAGGACAAGAAAAAGTGTAATTTAACCTAAAAGCAATAATCTTATCAGTAAAAATGTCTTCTTCATTGCTTGATATTTCAGAGGAAAGTGCAATGTTGACCACAGTTCAAAAATGACTTTCGGAAAAGTGAATCACATACGCGATTCATCCATCAAACTGTCATGACCCACCTGGACCTCCTAGACCGATAATCACCCCTTTTAACCACAAATTGAAGCAGAAGGGGGAAAGCATACCTTTTGTCCGACCCTCGACACTTTTGGTAGCATCTTTCTAAAATGTGTCTGCCGCTTGAAGTAAGAAACTAAGAGAGAGGGGAAAATAATTTATTACCGAAAAATATTATATTTTTATTTGTATCTTCATAATTTTGTGCAAAATAAACTTGCTGTTTTTAAAGCTAAATTATTTTTGTCAACAAATTTTTTTCTCTCAAGTTTTTCGTAGGCCCCTGAATTTCGTAGGCCTTAGGCACGTGCCTAGTGTGCCTATAGGTTAATCCGGCCCTGGAAGTAAAGGAGAGTAATCTTTCAGGGAATATTCCTGATAGGGATAAAGTTTCATAATATTCTGAGCAGAGAAAATATTGTTGTTTTTAAGGAAAGACTATAGCAACAACCCAAGAAGGGTTGTAACAATAGAAATTTCAGATATAAATCGTAAAATTATAAACAAATATCTGAACACATGTTGCAGATAATCTAATTTTTAAAAAAAATGTGCATTTCTTTTCTTTCATTGTAGTTTTTTTTTCTTACCATGCAATTAATTTAATTAATATTAATAGTAGTGTCTTAAATCTCTGAACTTGTTATTATAGAAAAAGCTTCATAATTTGGAGAAAGAAGATAGAAAAGAGAATGAAACAATGTTCAAATCAGGTAAATTTCTTAGAAAATAATTATTTCTGTATATTTATTTAAATACTTTTGTGTTTGACTATTTCATCCAGCTCTTGAGATTAAAATGTCTGTGCTGAACTGATAAAGAAACTACCTACTATAATAGGGAAATAAATATTAAAATCCAAGAGAAAAATAGTATGATCTATTATTTGTAAACAATTAATAAATGTTATGGTTTTATTAACTTTTTATTGTTATATTTGTCAATCTTTTCGAAACTAGAGTTTTCTCTATCAAACAACTTTGATTTTTCAAGAAAAATCAGAAGGTGAGGATATTTCAGAATTAGTACTTCTTTAGATCTACTAAAATGTTAAGGGTCATTACATAATTGTTGTAATAATAATGAATTTAAAAAAAAAAATTATTTTTCAATTTTTATCTTTCAAGTTCTTTTTGGAAAATAAGGTGATTTTTTTAATAGTCATTGGTGCTTAAGCAGGGGTCTGTCTAGGTTTTTCTTAAAAGGTTCCTACTCTGTGAAAATTTAGAAATAATTTGTGAAAATTAAAAAGTCAACACAACATGTACACAATATCATTTTAATTACCAAGTACTCAGCACACTTAGCATATTGAGATAACAGTTTACTGAGATAAAATAACAGATTTTTAATATTAACATGCTCAGACAAGTTTTGAAGTTGTACTCTGTTAATACTGATTAGTTGTAAAAATGAAATATTTTTAAGTATAAATGAAGATGAAGATTTTTAGTAATCAAAAGAAGAAAAAGAAATGTATATTCAAGCATAAATTTATAGCATGCAGTCATTTACTACTGCTAACTCATAAAAAAAGACTATCGTAAAACAAAGTTTTAAAAGGAGGAAAATTTTAAAATTTGCTTTTTAAAAAAAATATATTTTGTGAAAGTGCCATTTTTCTTAAAGTTGAACTTGTGAAAATACTGTTTGATCGAACGGTGAATTTGTGAAGGTGCCGCTAAACAGTAGTAAATTTGCCCTGGACAGACTCCTGTTAAGTAACTATTTTAATGCAGTACTGATACAGAAATCCTTAAAAAAATCTGAAATCAAGCAATACTTTTTCCTCAAAATTCTGTTATGTGAATAAAAATTCATAAGCATTTTTCTGCTATGTTGTTGTGTATCACAGTAAAAATTTCGGAGGTTTATTACTAAATCTTAGATTGCTAGTGAACTCATTTTAAAATTTTGATCAATCAATGCAATAATAATTTCTCTTGCAAAACATGTTGTACGATAACAAGCTTTTTAAATTACCATTTTTAAATTAAATAGATATTTTTTTTTAAAGTAATAATCATAATGATTATAGAAAAAGTTCAACTTTAATTATTTTAAATTTCTTTGTGATTTTGTTGTTTTTTAAGACAACATATCTTACACTGCTTACCTAACATTGATATTTTTATTCAAATAGTGACAGACTTAAATGTTCAGTCTCTGATTTCTGATGTTCAATCTTTGAAGGTAATAATTGTTTCTAAGATAATAATGTTCTTACAAACATAAAAATAAGCTTTTATTGAGTAAGATGATACTTTAATATAAGACAGCAGAAGATAAATGTCTTTGTAGCATTTTGAATGTATAACATTCTTAAATTAGATGATTTTAAAGTTGAATTGGGCTATCTAATAATGAAATATACATATGTTATTGAGAGGTTTTTAAATTCGTGAATAAATTATAAATTGAAAAAATAGCTTACACACTTAAGGTATAGTTTATTGTTCAAAATAGAAAGTGCTTAAAATTGCAGTAAACCTTGCAAGGACAATTATAGACCTTGCAGAACAACTTAAATTTTTAACACATCAAAAATAGATGCCCATTTTCCTGACTGGCCAGGCATAAATGAGAAGAAACAAAAAGAATTGATTGAGAAATCATCAAAAAATTAAATATACTATTTATTTTTTTAAAAAATTGATTTCTCCAGAACTATTCATCTGATTTCACTCAAATTTTGTATTTTTCCTTTTAAAATTGCATTTTTTAAAATAATGTAAAAATAGTATATCTTACAATTAAAAATTTTTTAGACCAATAGTTAATAGAAAAATGAAAATTAATAAATATTTACCGAAAGTTATATTTTGCATGGCATTATCTTTGGATAAACAAATTTTATAATTGCTTACAAAGATTCTTCAATTTTCTTAAGAAGTTCTTGAGGCATCGTGAAGTATGCAAAAAATAACATTTTAATTGTGGGGACTAAACTTTGTATCACTCTCCTGACCAAACTATATCGACAATATTTCCCAGATTGCTGGTTACCCCTACATCTTAGGGGTGAGGGGACATTTTAGGGGTCCATTGAAAAAGGGTATGTTTATTCATAGAAGGTACGTTTTTGTGTCTGATTTCATAACTTAAAATATCGTCTGCACCAATTTATTTGCATATTTGAGGTCAACCCCTCAAACCATTAAGATTGAGTACTACAATGTGAAAATTTGATCAAAAGTTATTTAGGGTGGTCACTGTAAATCTACATTTAATTCGTATTACTCTACTCTAATAATAAGTTTTAAAACTTCATCACAATTGAGCGATCTCAAAGTTTTGAAGTATCAGGAATCATTCATTAATCTTTTTCTTTTAAAGAAATGTTAAGGGTAGTGAACCTACAGCATTTTTTTCCATTTTAAACATTCCTGAATGAAATTTAAATTATTATATTTATTTTTTAAAATTGTTTTTAGTGTTTCATTATGCAATTAAAAAAGAACTTAATTACAATTAAAATTCATGGAATTAAAAAAATTGCAATTACAAGTTGTGTAATTTCCATTTGTGCTATAACAAGCAAATATCAAATTTTTTTTGTTCAATTCTTTTCTCTTGTTTCAAATTATTTTTTGTGACTTTTTTTTCAAAAAGAAAATTTTTTTTTCCAGATCTCAAAAGAAAAATTGGGTAAGATTAAAATTCTGTAATAATCTGTGTATTCTGTTATTCCTTTTTTGCTTTTTATCACTTTTTTTCCTTTTCTTTCTTTTTTTTTTTCTTTTTCTTTCTTTTTTTTCTTTTTATTCACTTTTCATTAAAAAAAAAGAAAATTAATAATTTTTTTTATTTTTATAAAATTTTTACATCATGCTTTGATTTATATTTTATTTATTTATTTATTTATTTTAAATTTTACGTTTTATGTCTAAAAGAATGTTTAAATTTTTTTAAAATTAATTTTGAGAAATAATTCATTTAATTTTTATAGATATAAAGTTTATTATTTAAAAATGTAATTAAGTTTATTGAATGTGAACTCATTATCAATGTTATCTTTAATTACTTGAATTTCTTTGCAGCATCAAAATATACTGCATTAGAAAAAGATTTTGAAACTGTTTTGGTATTACTTTTGTTTGTTTATTGTTAAAAACTAAAAACTGACTATTATGAAAAACTAAATTTTGTTATTGAGAATAATTGTTTTAGTATTAAGGCAAAATTATATGTAAATTAAAAGTTACAATACTTAATTATATATATTTCAACATGATTATATTTCATTATAATCATGTTGATATGATTTATATTGAAGTAAATGTAATTGAATAAAGTTCTTTCCATTGATAATAATTAAAGAGCAGCATAATCTGAATAGAAAATTATTATTTAATGACTTTTTTAAAAGAATTTTTGCTTACCTAAGACTAAGACACTATTCTAAAATCTGCTTTTTTATCAATTGCTGAATAAATTTAATTCAATGAAGTATAATTAGTACCAAAAATAAGAAATTCATTGTTACTAAAACTTATTTCATTTAAAATTTTCTCTCTTAATCAATTGTTACATGAAAATGCCCCTGGTTGATTAATGCATTCAACAAAATAACATAAAGTTATCATCTTTTAATAAACTGCTTAATTTATTCTGATAATAAATTTGTTGATGCTCAAAAGATTGTTTTTTTTTGTTTGTTTTTTTGAAAAAAGTCGCTGAGGATTTAAAGGGGAAAAAAAACAAGGATTTTTCTTAGTAAAGTTTAAATAATAGAAATAGATTGAAGAACTAAACTAGTGTAAAGCACGAAGAATATTTCTTGAAATGCCATACATAGAAGAATATTGCTATACAGTTTGGAGAAAAGGATCCTCTTCTCAAAACACAAGAAATTTCGCATTGTATTGGAAATGCAATGGAAAAAAAAGGGAAAGTAAAAGATTAAAAGAAAAACATAAAATAAGAACATGGCAGCAATAAATCTAAAATAATTATAAACTAAAAAAATGAGAGCACAAAACACAAATAAAATCACTTAACCAAGTACTGCACTGTGTCATATTTATAAGTCAGTTTCTTTTTATTTAAAGTATATATTATCGTAAGATTCTCACCCACCATAATATATTAATGATTTAGTCATCATCATCAGTAACACTACAGCCCAGAGTGGAGTAAGGCTTTCCTTTGAAAAGATTTCCAACCAAACCTCTGGGTAACAATGATCATGCAGTACTTAACTTTAAGGATTCCAAAATCTCTCTCTTCTGCATCTCAATTTGTGATGTCTTTGTCCTTGTGGTTTTTCAAAATGAGCCTTTTCACAGGGTTTAAATCATTCATGTTGAAAACATGAGCAGCCCGGTTTGATTTTATTTATCTTTATTGATTTTATAATATCTGAGTACAATGATCAAAGTAATGTCAGCAGATCTAGAATTATAGGTAGATGGAACTTTTTAAAGTGATCTGGTCGCTAAAAGTGAATAATCAATGTTCAGTTTAATACCATATATTATGCAACTTTTCCCGTAAAACCACTTTTCTTTTAAAAATAAAAAACCTGGGTTAAACGAGTTAAAATGGGTTTTTCCAACTAGTTGTTAAAAATTAAGGATCTGTTTCCTTTAAACAACTTTTTCTTTGACGTTACAATTACTTACTTTTACAAGGGTTTAAATATAACTATACGTTGTGCAAATAAATAATATTTTCTTTCATTGGTTAATTAATTTCCTCATATTAATTTAAATCAAAATTTAATTTCATTGTTTATATTTAATTTTTAAAGGCAGTATAAGTATTGGTTTTCTCTTATTTAGAAAAATATAAAATACCTTAATGTTTTTTTTTTGTTTTTTTCTGTATCTAATGATGAAAATATTTTTCAGGATGGCTACAGTCAATATGGTAAGCTGAATTGAAAATACTTAATATTATAATTTTCTGATTTGTAATGTTTATAGGTATGAACAGTAAATATGATTTACTAACTTATAACTGATTTTCCCTCAGATACTCACCAAAGTCAATATCCCTAAAATGCAGTTAACATTATTTTTTCCTAATTAATAATTATTTTTATTCCCTTATTGAAAAATTCTTTTAAATTTAATTCCTGCAATTTAATTAGTAATTTATTTTTTATATTTTCTAAGCATTCTTTTTTTGCGAACTTTCATATGAATATCATTTCCTACATCATCTAACTGGTTTTCCAAATGTTCAATAGGAATATAGTACTTGGCAGGAAAATTTCAGCACAATATTTCCCATGAGCTCAACGTTTGGAGAATTAAGGAATAAATTATGAAGTCTCCTGTAACATATTCTTACAAATATTCTTTTAACATATTACTTATTCTAAGTATATATCTGTGGAAAAATGTAAATTAATATGCCTTAGAGGAAAAACGAGAATATATCGCCTGAACTGAAGTAATATAAGCTACAATTCTGACATTGTGTATCAAGTTTAAAAAAAGAATTCTTTTGGTTAAATTTCAGAGAGGAAAAATGGCATTTTCATTTAAAATCTGACAGTTTTTAATTTTTTGTATTATTTATTAGAAGTTATTAAATAGGTATACGTTTTTCTTAAAATGTTACATATTAATGTAGTTTCACAGTATTAATAATAATGAAACATAGCTTTCAGCTTCAATATTAATGAAATTTAAATGTAATACAAAAGGATAAGTATTACACAAAGCAACTTTAAATTAGGAATAAAGAAATATTTTACTGGTAATTTATAACTAGAAAAACAAAGAAACGCTACCAGAAGTCTTGCTGTCCTTCTTTGACGTCATAGCAGAACACAACTATTTTTTATTTCGACGTTCGAAACAAAAAATGGAAAATAAATATATTTTTATTCCACAAGAAGCGATTTCTTTCTAAACACTTTTGTCATTACACTACATAATAACAACATGCTTGTTCTTCCAGTTGACAAACAAGTTTCACAAACAGGGAAATTAATCAGACATAACTATGAAAAAAGATGTTAATACTACTGGTAACTCAACCTACATAAAAATAAGGCAAACAATATTGAAATGGGAAAGTTTTGTAACTTTCTATGCATTACTCTGTTATTGGAGTTCCACTTAAAACTGAGTTTGAAACTTATCCCATTTAATCATTTTTAAAAATTCTTCATTTGTAAAAAAAAATTTTTATAAATGTGAAACTTTAAAATAGTGAATGAACAGCATTGGCGATTTGATACTTTGATACCAAACAAAATGTTTCAAAATCATAAGATCTGTTTCTTACAATTTGTTGTTCTCCAATATAATCACACAAAGGGAGATTATATTTAAAATATTGAGCATTATTTAATTGCAGTTACCTAATATGCATTATCACTTATGAAACATCTAAAGAATTTTTGCATTAGTTTATTCACTCAACTTTTTCACATGTAATTATATAATTGATGGCTAATATGTTTTTAAATGTATATATATACTTTCTTCAAAGTGTTTGCTGCATATTACACTGTAATTTGACTTAATTTAGAAAGTTAGAAATACAATTCTAGCAGAAAACGAAGAATATTTTAAGATATATATGATAACACACATATCTTAACTGCTAGAATTGTATTTCTAACTTTCTAAATTAAAATAAGACTGGTTTTTGCTGCTTTTTTATTTTGATTTATTATTTTAAATGTTATTTATTTATTTTGCCTTTTTCTAAATTTGTGTAAATCAGTTTCATTCTGATTATTAAATGTTCCGAAAATTAAATATTACATGCTGCCAATTTAGCTGGATAATTGTTGCAAGGTTAAAATAATGTTTTTAGACTAAGTGCTAATTCAGAGGGCAAATTTTTAACAGAGCTAAAGAAATTTACTGAAATTTTTAATGATATTTGCCCCTTCTAAACTATGCTTGTATAAATTTAATAAACTAAAGACAGAGAGCAAAAAGGGAAACTATTAGGAAGAAAAATTTGAAGTTTTGCACTACACTAAGTGCAAAAATCATAAAATTTAAATTAATTATTCTTTATTTGTCTTGAGCCTTGCAATGCTTGTTTTAACTTCAAAATATCAATTATATAGCATAATGTGTTGGTGCCTTTTTCTAATTCCTATGATATTGGATATGTTTAAAAACTTTATAAACAAGTGTCTACAATGTTCTGTTTGCTTATTTTCTTTTCTTTCCTTTCCTTTTAAATCCTAGGTTTGAAACTGGAAGATTTAGATAAAAATGTGGACAAATTGGTGAGCATATTTTTATTTTTCATATAATCTTAATTAGTGTCTATGTCATGTATTTTTAATTTTTATGTCTTTTCTCTTCTATAAAAAAGTCAAACTGTTTGAATTTATATGCTTTTTTAATTTTTTAGCTTAATTTTGAAGAAGATTTTGGAAAACTGAAAACATGTATTCAGAGATTGGAGGTAAATTTGAGGTGCATATTTTAAATATTCAGCATTGTCTGTAATTTTGTAGCAAACCTGAATTATAATAAGCCCAGGATATGCTGGGTTTTTCTTTAAGATTAGAAAAAAATCCTTTTATGATTTTTGAATGATAAATTTTATTATCTTTATGTTTCCTTGTTAATTATATATTACTCTTATATCCTTTTAGGATTATGTGTTCACTGGAAGTTCAGATGTATCCTATTGTGAGTGTATTTTCATTAGGTTTTTTTTAAAAATTTTATTATTAATTCAGCATTATTTATTTACTTTCCCAAATACAATTTTATGAAAAAAATATTTAAAAATTGTTAATGTATTTTGAAAAGCTGTAGGGAATGTTTTTATAAATGGTGTTTACGCATGACAAAGCTACTTTAAAGCAAGTTGTTTGGTGGATGAAGTGCTCAGAAAGTGATTATTTCAGTAGCCCTTTGTTTGTTTTATGTGTGCACATTTATTACTTGCAGGAAAAAATCAATTATAGATAAAACTAGCTCAATTCAGAGTTACACTTAAAAGGGCTATTAATTTATGTTATGATTATTTTATTAGCATTTACAACTAGTGATTTAATGTTAAAAATCAATGTGTATATGAAGTGGTGTCTTATGCTTTCCTAATCTTTTTGAAAATGAACTGATACTTATATATCTTAAGGAGAAAATTTTTTTAATTTTAATTTTTTTTAGTCTGTTCGTAAAGATGTTTAAATATTTTTTTTCCTTAGAAAATCTAATATATTCTGACAAAGTTCATTAAAACGCAATTAATTATCTCTCTTCATATTAGCGGATACTCCTCCGAAAAGGTTTTCCATACCTTCCACTGTTCCATTTCCAACTAAGATACCATCTGAGTACTATTTTGGTGCAAGAAAAAAGAAAGATGAGGTAGTAGAAGAAGTTTCTTTGCAACAAGTTCCTTCAGCTGAGGTAAGTTTGAAAAAGGTGGAGATTGAAGAAATGCCTTCAAGTCAGAAACCTAAAATGGCTGCACTTGTTCAAAAAGAGTCTGAAGAAATAAAACAACTGAGGAGCCCTAAAGAAAAATTCAGAGAATTGGCAAAAATGGGTTGGTTTTCCTTTTTTTCTTATTAAAATGAGTATTAAAAAAGTGATCAAGTAAGAGCTATGTATTTTTAATTTGAAATTAAAACAAAAAAGCATATGATATCAATGGGACTTTTTTTTAAAAGTTTTATATGTTGACTTATGGCATTTTTGTTCAAAAATCATTTCTTGCAAGTGTCCACCTCTAAAGGTTTTTTAAAAATTTTATTCATAACTTTCAATTTTTGGTCACTTTTCCACATAAATCCATACTTATTTCACAAATTTCAAGATTCTGATGTTGATGAATATTTGTGGTTTATTTCACATAACTCCAGTGAAAAATGTTCAATTAAGTTATATTTTATGATTATGGTGGTCAGTTCCCATTAGAATTTCTAGAAATTACAAAAGCCGTTTCTTTCAATAAATTAATTGTGTCATAAGATGTTCCTGAAACTAGATATCATTCATATCTAGATCATGACAAAAAGTGCCATTTGACTGAAATTTTTCAATTAAATTATGAGTATTAGTTCTGTAGGTTGACTATAAATTTCATATAGAACATGATATGTTTCATCCAAGAATTCATTACCTTTTTGTGGTGATTTGCTAAACGAAATCAGAATTTATTTATTTTTATTTCTTTAGATTTAAACTTCTCCCCTATTTTATCATAAAATTATTATTTTTTATTTATCAAAAACATTTTTGTTTATTATTTAAATAAAAAATGCGCAATAATTATTAAATATTTTATTTATTTAAGTATTCAGTCCTTAAATATGCTGTCATTTTACTTCTGTAATTTGTAATTATTAAGAACTATTGAAAAATTCAATTATTCAAGTTATTAAATTTTCAAAAGTTTAAATTTCCACATGCACTTGTAGTTTAATAATTGTTTTACATTTTGTGCAAATTATAGATGACTGTAATTGTTAATTTTTTTATGAAATTAAATTGGTTTATCAATTTTTCTTCTTTAATCTCAGTTAAATTCGCCAGTGGTAAAGGATACCCTTCTGTCCATGACAAACATGGTGAGTACTGTGTTCATTTCATTTTTTTTTAATAAATATTTTAATTTTTGCTAAGCAAATAGACGGGGCTGTTTCTACAATAAATCTTATTGCATTCAAAGAGATACTTTCAGTACTTGATAAATGTTAAAGATGTAAGAGTTTTTTTTTAAAAATCTGTGATCCAAACTGAGTGTCAATTATGATATGATTTCTGCTTCAATTACTCCAAATCACTTCCCTCCAACCTGCTCTAAATCACTGAATATCCAATCACATCAATCCTTATAACTAATAAATATGAATAAGATAAAAAGATATTAATTAAAACATAGGAAGGTATTAATTTTACCTAACAATTGAGCTCGAATTGTCAAAATGGAATGCTACTAACAGCAAAAAAAAAAAAAAAAAAAAAATTCTGTATATTTTCATTTCAATTCATTTCATTTCATTTATATTCTAAACAATGTGTAAAAATTGTATAAGTTGGATTTTCTCAATTTCAGAAATATCTTGAGAATCCTCTAGTATCATGTCTAATTTTCTCTTTCACCCATAAATATAAAACAACTGATAGGGGCCGTTCAAATATTACATAAACTTTTTTTTGCAATTTCTGACTCCACCTGTCTCTTCAACAAAAATAAGCAGCAAATCACTAATCACAATGCTTACACGAGAGAGGTGGTCTACCCCTTCCGATTTTTTGGTTGAACTTTAACTAATTTTAGGATTAAATTCAAACAAAAGATGTCACTTAACATGAAACAAAATTTATGTTTTTATTCATTTTGTAATATTTTGAGTATAATATTTGTCAGGAAACTTTTGTGCTCGTAACTCTAGACCTCTAAAACCCTGTAAAGAAATATTTTTTCCCATTTTTTTCTCCAAGTTCTACTTTAATTCCACATTTGAAATTGTTTATACCCCTCTTTCTTCATTTTCAGCAGAAATAAGTAAATTGCAAGGGGTCTGTCCAGGCCAAATATACTACCGTTTAGCGGTACCTTCACAAATTCAACTTTAGGTTCACAAAATACTTTTTCTCAAAATTTTATGTTTGCATCCCGTAGGAAACGATAAATCCCTATTTTTACCATATTTTTGTGTTGATTTTTTAATATAATTTTTAATTTTCACAAATTATGTCTAAATATTTTCTCTCAGAAAAAACTAGACAGACCCCTGATCACAAACCCCTCCCCTGTTAGGTGCTTACATGATACTTGAACAGAGCCTCTAACATTCTTTAATTTTTAATTAATGTTATGCTAAATAAACCTCATAACATTTCTGATAAGTATAGGATAAAAAAAGTTTTTCTTTTTACTTCTAAACACAAAATTGATACTTATGCATAGCTGATTAGGATAGCTATTTATCACTAAACAATTTTAGAATAATATGGAAAGTTTACCTGATGGAAAAATTAGTTTTCTGAATTTTTTTCACTCTTCATTAGAAAAAGCGAAGGAATTTAAAGTACAAGACTTTGAATTGGAAGGTACAGCTGAAATCATCCCAGTGGAGGAAATTTTACCTTCAACTGGAGTAAAGAAGCTATCTTTAAGGCAATTAAAACAATTTCCCAAAGCTGCTCATGCACTGACTAATTTAAAAAAAATACAGTCTGCAAAGTATTTAGATACTGATCTTTTTATTGAAGATAGCAAGGATACTGAAACTGAAGCTGAAATTGAACCACAACTGGAGGTATAACTGTGAAATTTCGATTTCAATTCATTAATTTAAAACTAAATTATTACGTTTTAGTACAATCAATGCTCTATATCAGAGGTTTCCAACTTACACGAGGCCGGGGGCCGCAGTTCAAAACACCAGTCAAATGGCGGGCTGCAACTTCATCAAAATTTTATATAGGACTCTTTTTATGTTTGAAGGAACATTAAATATTTCTGTCTGATTTTTATCAAGTTGTACAAAACAAAAGTATTGAACTACAAATAATTATAAATATTTTCTCGAATAAATATTTTCTTGGATGCAAAACCTGAGAAATAAATTTTTTTTAACCGTTGGTGTGTTAAATTTCACAGAAACGAAGAAATTAGATTTTTTTTTTCAATGAAAGAAAAGTGTTTTAAACCCATATAGATTTTTAAATTGTCAACAAAAAAAGGACAACTAATATATTTTAGCTCGCATGCAAAAAAAGGCTTCGAGGGCCGCTGTTGGAAACCACTTCTAAATAATGACTCCTGTGTTCGAAAAAAAACCCCCACACATTATAATGAAAGGTCTCTTTAGCATGAAAACGTAGAACTTAAGCAAATATATATACATAAATGAAGAGCCTAATGGAAGAACCGGCTTTAGTGAATTTGAGTGAAAGAGCGTTAAAATTTATAAGTTTTTTTATTTGTTTTTCGCTCATTCTTTATTTTTTGTATATTTGTGAAAACAGAACTGAAACAATTTTTGGGGATCTATTTATTTGATTCTAACTGTTTTATAAAGATTTTCATGATTTTTGTGTGTAGCATTTGCTTGTTTTCACGGAGGAGATTTAATATTTTTCTTTGAAAAAATTTTGTTTGAATAGATAAAATAAATAAATATATATTTAGGCTTTTTTTTATCATGCAATATATTCAGACAATTTTTATTTATTAGTCCGAAATCGATCAAAAATTATTCATTGGCAACTTGAGCACAACTTTCATGGAGTAAATGTTTTACCAGTATTTATCTCTTAATTAGGTAATTTTAAAAAAGTATTCTTTTAAATTGAAATGATTGGGGTCAAAATGTTATATTATTTCGTTACAGCTAAAGGTACTTCTGAAATTAAAGTATTTTTATTAGTTTTTATACAAAAAATATTTAGGTATAGTTTTTTAAACACAAATTATTTTCAATTTTGCATTTAAAATTTGCAGTTTTATTCAAAATTATGACACATTTTAATTTATAAAAATGTTTCTAAAACAGTTTTTGTTTAGATGTGTACTATAATATTAATTATGCAATTACATAATTCGATTTCTATTTCACATTTGACTATCATATTAAGTTTTTGAACCACTAAATGAATACCTAGATAGTCTTATTGGACCACTAAATTTTTATTGTTATTTTTATTATTATTTTTAGGGTGTGAACCCTAATACTAGATTTTATATTGCTCTCTTTTTCTTAAGGCTTTTGTTCTTTCATCCATTGAAATCGGCATATTGTTTTTTTTTCAGCAAAGCCAACCAATCACACTTCTTCTTACAATTATTGTATTGATATTAATTTTCTCAATTTCATTTTAACCTTTTATAACATATTTTAATTTTAAAAAAAGGTTCTTTTCAGAACAAATTATATACTAGCATTAAAATTTTCTGTTTTATTGGTAAATATTTGATTTTTGATTCAAAATTTGAATTGAGTAGCATGATTGATTTTTATATTGCCACAGTGAATTCTAGTTGACCTTTTCTGCAAAGGTCATATAGTCTTGAAAAAAATAATTTTAATTCTAAAACCTGTTTTTAGTCTTCAAAAACTGCAGAAATTGAAGCAGCCATTGATTTGCCTAAAGTGAAAGAAAAGAAGTACAAGAAAGAAGTACCAACAAAAGTAAAAGAAGTTCAGGAATATGAAACGATTCTGTTATTTGAAATTTTAGAAGAAAACTCCAAAAAGCTTAAAGAGGAGTTAGTTTTGTACATAAAAAAACAAGTGAATCCTCTTCTTAATGAATTTTACTTAGTAAGATTATTATTTTTTTTAAAAAATTCTATTTATATATTTCTGACAGTATTTAAAAACATTATTTTCAATGTAGAAATTTTGTAGAATATTGATTCTTATAAATTTAAATTGCTTCATTTATTGTTTATTTTAAGATGTTTCACTTTTAATGAACAAAATTTTTAATAAATTTTCTCAGTTCTTTTTTCTGTGCAATTCTTCTACTTTACGGCTTCCCCTATTCTATGAAATGTGTTGAATGTAATTACAACATATTGTGATCTTTGAACTCTACTTGAACTTCAATAATTAATTTTTTAACAGGCCTACAGTCTGGAAAATTGAGTTAAATATTTATAAAACAAATTAAAAATATTTTTAATAAAAGGAATGTATAAAATTTCTTTGAATGCAGATGACCTCTTGAGCGTTTGTCCTGGCTTTTTTAGGCACAGGCTTTCCGGCTTTAAAAACACCATTTCCCCATTCTATTAAATGGAACATAGCGCATAGCGTTTTTAAAAGGTGCTCATTCTTGATTTTCGTAATTTAAACGCCTTTAAAGGTGCTTTTCTTATTGGGTGTTTTCAAAAAATGTTTAATTTTCCCTTTTCAAAAATTAGATTCTTTTCCTTATGTTGATTTTCACCACGTATTATACAAAAGTGTGCTTGTCATATTGTTCTGTTTAGCGTTTTCGCATTTTATTCAACCGCAATCTATTATGGCATATCATCGGTCCATAGTGCACGAAAGCGCTGATATTTTTACATGTTTTATTAAATACTTGCTAGTGCGCTTGTGCTTGCACTGAGGCAGGCTCGGTGAGATTATTGCATTCTTATGTGCGACTCTGCTGCATTTTGCAAGATATTTTCAATTTCAGGCTTTATTTTCCTCTCTGCGATATCGAACGGAAAAATCTCTTGATCATTTTATAATGGCTAATATATTTAAGAAAAGAGTTCTTTGTCAGAAGTTATTTTATCATGATCATGTAAATTCTTTGAAGATTATTTTGCAATTTGTTAATGTATATAGTGCTTAAAAATATTTTTTGAATGCTTATAAAGTACTTAAGAGGTGCTTATTTTTTGTTCTAAGATTTGGCTACGCACCCTGGGGAACCTGTTGCATAGTTAAAATATCAATACAACTTTACTCAGTTGTTTAACATTTACAGGGTTAATTTTCCCTTTTACTAACAAATGTTTTACAAAACTGAGAAAAACTTAGTATATCATATTACAAAAATTTTTAAAGGGCCATTAAATTAAAAATAGCTTTTTTTCGATGCAATTGCATGAAATTTTTTCTTAAACTTATTATCTGTATAGATACATTTCAGAGAAGCGATAGGGAATACAATATGTACACACTTACAAATATGTATATGCATATACAAATACATATTCACACAAAATTGCATATTCTTTGCTCAGAACAGCTGTCTGATCAGAAAGTATGTTACATTCTTTTAAATATTAATCCTAGATATATTTATGATGTTTTATAATAATCGTCTTTAATCTGCATTTATGAAATCCCTGAATGAATGAAAAGTTTGGATTGCAAATAGATGTTTAAGAGAGGAACAAAAATGAAAATGTCATATGAACTGGAGAATCATTAAAAAGGAAAACAATCTTAAAAATATCATAACTTAGAAAAGGTTTTAATTTGACGAATTAAAGCGAAAACTTACTGCTGGAGAATAGTGATCCCTGGAAACACATTCAAATTTTTCTGCTACTTACCCTGTTTTTAATGTTTTCAGTTCTGCCTTCCTCAATTGTGGTTTATTAGATTTTAATCATGCTTTTATTTTTTACACACTTATTTCAGGTCTATATTGTGCGTACTTTTTTTATATGAATTCTAAAAATGTATATTTAGAGCGGTGATTACAAAATTTTTTTGTTTCTTTTTATTACTTTAATTGTGACATTAACTTGTTTGAAATGCTTTTACTTCAGTTTCAACATCTCTACAAATTTTTTTTTTTTGCATCAAAAATTGTTTGTTGGTTGGAAAAATTTGCATACCACAGCATGCATTGATTTACATATATAGGGCTTTTTTTCCAGGTTGAAAGTGAAGTGAAAAGTTTAAAATTAAAAATTGGAAATCTAAAGCTTCAAATTGACGAAATTTCAAGTCAGCTTATAATGAAGGACTCTGATCTTCAAGACAAAAATAAAAAGCTTAATGTGAGTTTTTGACACATATTTATTTTTTGAATATTGAGCTAAAGAAAAAAAAACATTTTTGTTAAAATTTCCTTTGTTTATAATACAGTTGATCTTTTATGGTATGACCATAACTATAGTATTTTCATAACTATAAGTTCATAACTGTAACTTCTTAATTATAGTATTTTTATAATAATGGCTTATTTATAACATAGTCCTATAGATGATTACATTGATGCAAAGTTATATTATTGTTCTAATTGTTTTTTAGGTTCTTGAAAACATTGTTGAAGATCATGATCGTTTCATAAAAGATGCTCTAGAAAAACTAGAGAGGGTAAAAATTAATGAGTATTTTTATTTTATTCTATGTTCAGCCGTAGATGAATAATTTAACAATAACTTGTTGGAAGAAATCTTTTCTTAATTGTTATTTGTTGCTTTGTAACACATGCGCTCTGAAGCTGTTGCTAACGGGAATATTTTGTCTGCTTGTGAGTTGGATGAGCGATTTCGTATAGCGTGTTTACCTTAGAATTCAATCTTTGAATTCTTCAGGGTTTTATTTTATTTTTATGACTTTAGCTTTTATGCAAGCTTTAGGGCGCATAGTTTCTTTTCCCAGCTATTTTGGGAGTTCCAGTATGTGCTAGGTCTGTTTTTATTTTAAAGTTTTTAATAAATAGTTTATTTTGGCAATTTAGTTTTATTTAATTATTCCACGACTCATGTTAGTTTAATTCATGTTAGTTTCCCCCACATACTGTTTTGTAAAATACTATAGGCTATAACATTTTCCTGTTTTGATTTCATAACTTATGGCGAGAATACTGGCTTAAAAGAAAATGGACTTAAACATAATCTTTAAAGATTATTTTAGCTGTTTCTTTATTCAAGTCTGCAGAAATAGATGACTCCTATAAAAAGAAATTTTAGTTTTGAAATATTTTGCTCATTTATTTAAAATAATTGGTATTTTTTGCTGCTTTTAAATCTGTTATAAAGAAAAGAAAGGGAAAAGAAAAAGAAATGCAGAATGAACATTAAATATTATTAGATGTTTAAACCCTTATAATTAAAATTTGATGGGCAACCTAATTTGATTGGTAAATTTATCTGACCATATGCAGGGCTGATTGTGCTCCGGAAAAATCTGGATTTCCGGATTTTTCGCCAACAGTGATCCGGAAGTTCCGGAGATCAAAGATCCAGACGTTTAAAAAAATCATTGATCACAGAAGTTTCCTTTCCGGAAATCAAATTTTCAAAGGTGGAACTTAAAAACACAGTTTATTTTATTTGTTTGTAAGGCAGAGCCAGAGAGATACTTTATAAGCTTATATTCATGATTAATATTCATTTTTTATCAATAAATAGTTGTTATAATCATAAACTCAAGAAAGAAAGACATATTTGTAAATTTTAATTACTTCTCCAGGTCATCATAGGTATGTGTAAAATTTTAAATATATTTTTAGTAAACTAAGAAATATTGAGAAAAAGAAGAAGAAAAAAACATTGTTTAAATTTTTTCTAATTTTTCAATTTAAACTGTTTTTTATTTTTTAACTTAAGAAATTTTCCGGAATTTTGATGGGCTCACAATCACCCCTGCATATATGTTCTTTTCTTTAATATCCCTTCTATCAATTAATACAATTGTTTACTCTGTCTGATTAACATTAACACTTTGGCTGGAATATATCCACAATTAAGAAGGGTTTTTATTTATTTATATTTGGAAAAGAAGTGATCAGGATTTGCCTGAATTTTATTAAAATTACCAACTAAATACATCCTTTGCACCAATACATGCTATAACAGTACCCACTTTAAAATTAGAGTGCAAATTTCAAATAGATTACAGTGAAGTAGCTTTATTAAGTACTCTTATTATATCATAATTAACTTATGCATGTGAAACTCGGACCATGTCTTCTGTGTAGATAAATTTGAAATAAGAGAAGAAAAATTTATGGAAGTAATAAAAAAAAATTTATGGCTTAAATGTTAAAAAAATAATGAAGACCCTGGTGACAAAATTTGCAGAGTCACTCTGAAGCATAATCTTCATCAATTTAAAATTATTTGCATCCATAACTCAGTCAGATAAAGACTATTATTGTTTAAATTGGGTAAGTATTATTCTTACGCGTATATAACGAAATTTGCATGTTAGATTAAATTTATTCAGCAAAAATTATTGTTAAAAATGAAATTATTCAAATTATTTACAAGACTACTTTTAAAAAAGGAGTAAATCCTTATACATACTATAAACCCAGTGAGAGTTTTCGGAAGCTATTAAAAATACTTTTTTTTAATGAAATGAAATATACAGTGTTCACAAAAAAAGAAATGTCGACGAAATTTGCTATTTAAAATAATAAACTACATAACACATTGTACTGAATTGAAGGCTTATAGAAAGTTTTATTTTTATATTCTTGTGCAGCCCATTCCATATTTTTACAATTTCATGGTGTTTGTAATTTTTGTTGCTGATTTTTTAACAGATATAATTGAAATGAAAAAAAAAATTGACGAATATTCTTTTTATTTTTTTCTGTTTTTTGTTTTCTTTTCTTAATTTTATTATTTAAATTCTTTGAGAAAATTTCTGTAATGAAAAAAATTTTTTTATTTATTAAATTTAAACGAAGTTAAAATATTGAAATGGTTTTAAATGTATGCTATCATTCTTTAACCATTTGCTGGTAAATTTTTCTCATACTGCTGTTTGTTTGCTAAAGTTTCATGGTTTATTAGGTAAAACATTGTTCTGAGTATTTTGAAGTTTTCCTTGAGTTTTTAAGTATGAATTGTTTACTTTTTATCCATTTCAAAAATAAAAAAAATTCTTTATAATATAGCTAGTCAATTTTTTTTAGAAAGCTGAATCAGATGATGTGAAAGGAAAAGCTGAGAAGAAGGATGTTGTTGCTGTTGAAAGAACATTGTCAAGTTTATGTGATGTTTCCACTTCAAACATAACAGCTTTGGTAATAATGTTAAAATGATCCATGTTCTGCAGTTGTGAACTATAAAATTAATTAACTTTTATGACACTTTAGAAAATTGTTTACAACTGCCATGACATATTATTAGATGTTATATAAGTGTTCAATTCTCAACCTAACTCAATGAGATTATGCCAATTTTCTCCCTGATGGATTATAATATGACTGACCATTTCTCTATTTAATGTCTCAATTATTTTATCAGATACAATTAAGTTACAAAGAGACCTAAGTGTGTCAACTTTGCGTAATTTACAATAATACTCGAAATGTGAAATTAACCACGTAGCAAATTAAATAGTTGTTTAACATTCTCAGTTGTTTAAACATTCTTGGGGAGTTGGATGGAAATCTCCCAATATTAAAGCTTTTAATTTTGATAGTTATTTAGATCATCTTCTTCAGTATTTAACAAGACACCATTTACTTTTTCACCTAAAATTTCGCCTTTTAGTTCCTCATTTATGTTTTTCATAACAAAGGCTTGCTCAAAAAACCAAAAAAATGAAGAAAAAAAAAAGGGATTGAAAATTTTTGGTTTAGATAGAACTAGAAGTTTCATACTATGTTTTGGAAGGGAAATGGAGGAAGTTTTAATACTATTTTTATATTTTATACTGTTTCATGGAAGATTTAATACCATAGATTACATTTTTGATGTTTGTTTCTAATGCGTCATTTATTTTTTTGGGAGAGATAAGTTCAATCACTTTGTTTTTCTCTTCCAGTAAAAGCTTTTTTAAGTCTTTCTACTTTTAGTTTTTTTACTGGAATAAAATATCGTTTTTTTTTAAAGTAAATATTATAGTTTATCTATTATTAGTTTACTTAGTTTTTGATACACCATTGGTTTAAATATTTCCATATATTATATAATTTTAAAATGCATTTAATTATGTTGCATCAGAAAAAGTAAAAAATTCTTTTTTTTCATAAATATTGAACGTTATGGATTTATAGGAAAACATGATCAAAGAGTGTGTCACCATGCTACGTCGAGAGTTACAGGATAGACTACTAATAGCTGATATTGATGTATATAGTGAACCTCTGGAAAATAAAATTAAGAAATTAGAAAGGAAGTTTCTGGACAAACCTTCCATCCAACATTTCCATAACATCAAGTGAGAAAATTCTTGTAACTAAAAAAATTATATATATTTATTAATATTACTTATGGTTAATTATGTTTAACAATATTTAAAATGTTCTAACTATTGTGCTTGATTTCATAACTAAAAATATCATCTGCACTAATTAATTAGCATATTTGAGGTTACCGCCTGGAACCTTTAAGATTGAGTCCCATAACATGCTGATCCATTCAGTAGATTAAAAGTTATTCAGAGGGTCATCCGTTTTTGTTTTTTTTTTTGAACTGCACACTGTACACCCAATGTCAACAGCATTGCAGGAATGCATCATAACTGCTATGATAATCATTTATAGAAATATGTTATTGAAGAGAAAGGGAAGAATTTTGTGTACCATAGGGATGTTTGTAGTTGACCAAAGGTGCTCAAATGTATCTGACACTTGGTAAAAGTATGTGTCTTTCCATGTATGATCTTTCTTTTTTTCACCCCATATTTGTAAATAAACACCCCTCTGAATCGAGATAAATCATTTTGAGCTTGTATTTTAAAACTTATCACAGTAAATTTTTAAAGTCAAAGATTGTTATAAAAGTTTATATTTTCCAGACCTATTGAAATCAAACAGTATGTGCATAGTGGGGAGCAGAAGAACTTAGCTCAAATAAAGTAAGCTATTTTAATAGTTTTATTATTATTATTCATTTATTATTATTATTTCTTTATTATTATTCATTAAGTTTTTGATATGACATAAAGATTTAGCTCTCATTGTTGTAATTTGTTTAAAGTTCAAATTGCTCACAGATATTAAAATTAGAAATGAATTATTTAAATTATTATTGAAAAAGATTTTAGATTTAATATGTTACTTTTTATTTGTAATATTGCCTACAATCTTTACAAAAAATCACACTTAATATTCACGCAAAAAATTTAAATTTTGAAATCAAAGACTTGTAAAATAATAAAACATAATAGTATTATTGCACATTACTATTGCTTTTCTGATCTTAATCAGATGTGCTTATAAAAAAAATCTAAAGGGACACCTAATTAACTTAATTTTTTTTTCTTCTTTTTTTTCCTGGAAAGACAATTGCATACTTCTTCAGAGGGTTTCAAATCTTTTACATCTGCCTATGATGAAATGAAAGTTCCTATATCTATTCAAACTGGAGTAAAGAAAAAGTAAGATTCAATTTTGTCTTTGATAATAATTTAGAAGTTGTAATTTGAAGTAGTTTGATTAATTTTATAACTGATTTTTTACTTGAGCAAATTAGTACAAAGGATTATTCTTTGTTAAGCTCCATTGAATAAAATATGGGAAATCAAGTTTTTATGCAGAAAGGAAAACAGCAATCTATACCTCAATCTGATAATTAAAGTGTTCAATTAGTTGTTTATTTAGTTATATACTTTTTTTATTTCAACACATTCTAATTTTTATTATAAAATGATGGAAATTTTTTAAAAACTTTTGTCGTATAGAATTCTTTCAACTTCCTTTTAAAGATTCCTGTCTTTTAGTCCATTTTTTTTTTCATTTATAAATAACCTCCAAATTTTTTTTCAACAATTTAAAAACAATGTTCACTTTTTGAAGATGGGCAATATTTCTTTATTTACAACAAGCACAAAAATTGCAATATTTCTCTAAAAATATACAAAATATCTAACTCTTTTCCATCTGAAAGAACCAACTCATTTCTTTTTGAAATATTTTTTTATTTAGTTACAATTTATTTTTGGAGTGTTATTCAGCTCATATTATAAATAGTATTCTTGTATTACATAAATTTTGTTTGAAAATTTCAGTTTGTCACGGACAATACGCAATGATGCTGAATAACAAAAAGTTTTCGGTTAAATTTGGTTCTCAGATCAAAAAGTATACAGAAAGTTTTAGTTTGATTCACTCCTGTTGAGAAAAATTTTACTTACAAAATATTTAAATTTCTCATTTTGCATTCCATTAAGATTCTAGAAAGTTCTTAAGAAAATATATATTTGTTACATGGGAAAAATAGATCCATAAATATGAAAATGCAGCTGCACAGAATTTTTTCATAATTATCATCCTTTATATTTTTAGAATCATTGATATTATTATATACAAAAAAGTATAAAAATTAAGAGTCACAATTTAATAGAGAGATTTCGCAAAGTGTTGCGATTACCTTTATCTCTACTGTTAATACTATTTGTACTGCAAAGCTTATATGCGAATTTTTTTCTACAAATCAAAATATTGCTAAGCCAGTAGAAAATAAATTTAGAGTTGCACTTAACATAACACTCATCATCGTCAAGATTTTTCTTATGCCTGTCTGGCACTTAAGACTTTAAGTCTCGTCCTCTATCGCTTGCGGTCCAAAGCAGCCTCTTAAGCCAAGTTCCAGCTAGACCATCCAAGTGCATCTCTTTCATCCACTATCATTCTTTTGCCTTGTTAGTTTCTGTCAACCTGCTTCCTTCGTAGCTACTGCGTCCAGACTAGGAGGAAATTCAGTGGCAAGCTTTCGAAGAATATGTCCCATCCACGTCCATTTTCAATATGTGATTTCCCCAGTAATAAATCTCGTTTTGACCTCTCGTTATATTTGCTAATTTGATAAGGGCCAAAAAATTTTGTAAATCCTGTGTAGAGCTTTAGTTAGAAAGGAGTTCAAGGAGTTTTCTTGAGATTTTGTAAATTTCCAAGTTTCATGCCCATAAAGTAGGACGACTTTGACTGTTGAATTGAAGATGAGTAGTTTCAATTTGATTGTTGATTCTGAAGTGTCTTTTAGCACACTTTGCAGTTATTCATAAAATTCTTTTAGAGCATTGTCAGCATCATTAGTAGGAGCATACGTCTGGGTGATAGTTATGTGTTGAGAAAAGGAGCTTGCTTTTATGATGAGGGTTGTTGATTGTCTTCCAATTAATGTGACTTTTTCCAGCATTCTCGTTAAAAATGAATGCAGCTCCTTTTTTATGTCTCGCATCATTACCCGAATACAGGATGGAGGTTTCACCGATGTTGTAAAGTGTCTGAACCCGTCCAACGGGCCTCTGTAATGCCGAGTATGTCGATGTTGTAGTTAATAATTTAATTAGCTTTGTTTTTCCTTCTTGATACATCATTTGGACATTCCATGTACCAGTGAGCATAACACTAAATGTATGCTAAATCTCTCTAATATTTAAGCGAGCAATAAAAAAACGTTATCAAAGTATGTTGAATCACTAGTGATGAAGGAAAGGTTAAAAATATCAAAACCAGCTTGATTGTCAAATGAAACTTAGAGGTGTCTCCAACAATCGCTTATCATCTCCTTTCCTTATTCTGGCAATCTGTTTTTTTCTGAATTTTTTCTGTACCATATTTCTTGAAGATGATTCATTTGATAGCGTATTTGCTTACCCCTCGCTTATATCTCAACTTGAACCCACAAGCTGTGTACTTTTTTCTTTCAGTTTTGAAAAATATTTTTAAAATGTGTATTATGAGAAGCCAATACAGATCACCCCGCATGGTATTTGTGAGGAAAATTTGTTGCTTCCTTCAGTAGCCGTCAAGGGTTGTATAGTGGAATATATGAATGTTCATTTGGGCCAATATTGAATGAATAAAACAATTACGTTTCCAGGAAATAATGTACAAATCGTTGAATGTAAATTTAGATTTTATTAAGTATAATTTGATTCAGAAAGTGGCCACATCTTCATCCAAAATAAGAAATCCCTTAAAGGGATGAAATAATAATACTCTCTATTGAGAGATCATAAAGCCAGAACAACATTTCTGACGGTTAGAAAATTGAGACTGGGAGGCCCCCAAAGGGGTCCCAGCCTCACCAATTTAGAAATTAAAAGTGAATATATTTATTCTCAACGGACAGAGAAAGAGTATGGGTAGGAGATCCAAAATTTGGCGATTTATCATAATATATCATAGCCAAAAACAAAGCCAACTAGCATATCCACATGGGTTTAAAAGAACACCTTGGCGATCACGAGTCGCCAACAAATTTATGTGAATTATTATAACCATGCAACCGAAACATTTAGCCGTTGGAAAATTAGAATAAAAAGTTATAAATAGATTTTTGTTTTCGATTAGAGGCGACAGTGAATTTATATGTCTGCATAATAATGAAATAAAAAGAAAGTATCCGTTACATTGATCTGGAAGAGAAGAAATAAATATTTTATGTTCGTTTAAAAAGATTAAGTTTTTGATTTATTTTAAAAGTAATTCTTCCATTAATAAAAATAAGCTTAAGTAATGAAGGATATTTTAAAAAGATAGGAAATAAATATGTAATGCCAAATTATGGCATCACAGTATTAATCTGTTGTTTTACAGAATGGAAAATGCTGAAATACGAGGGTTTCCTCACATAGTCGATGGAAGTTACACCAAAATTGATTTTCGTCAGAGAAAGTTCAAATAATATGCATGCAACTAAAAAAGGTTATTTTTGCGCTTGGAAAAATCTGAAAAATTACGTATTTAAATATTTATTTTATGTCTTATTTGAAAATAAAATATTCATATCTTGGCTTTCGTATCCGTTATTGCAGTGTTTGTAGTTGTCCTTATATTCTTGATTTTTCTGATGAAAAATATCTTGTCCTTATATGTCCTGACTTTTAGCTTTTTGTTCTGATATTTATGAATTTTGTATGTGTTCAGAATATCCCATTTTCGATCAAACTTCTTTTTTGTTTTATTTGTTAGTTCAAAGTTAGGGACCATTCACTAATTTCATCTTACAAGTATAAACGTAATTTAAACATATAGTCTTACTTACAGAATTCATTGTTTCAAATTTATCGGGAGTTTAATTTGAACAGACATTTAATTTTAAAAAAAACTCAGTTAACAAATTTACATTATTAATTTTTGATGTAATTTTTTTAGAGGTTTCTAAATAAATTACATAATTTAGTTAGAATGTTACAACAATTATTCAGTTATTGAACAGAAAATTGAATTGCAGTTATTGAATTACAGTTTTGAATGAATTTTAATATTTAAAAGAATTTAATTTTATACAAATATAATGCTAAATTAGCTATTGAAAAAAAAAGAACTAATGAAGAGAATTATAATTACTTAAAATAATTTAATTTCAGGCAAATATGTTACTAAGTTTACTGATAAAAAGAATTTGTTTGAAACTTTTATGTTTAGATTAAAATTATCATAATTGCCGTCAACATGTGTAAGTACTTGGGCATGCTGCCCTTCATTCAAGAAAGGGTTGTGTACCCCTATATAAATTGTAATGAAAATATTTTTATAATATATTTTTAATTCACTTTACAAATAATAATCTTTCATTAAACGTAGAATATAATTATTATTAAGATGAATTTCATTTCAATATCGTAAGTTGATAAGTGTAGCCAATGTTTCAATTGAATACTTTACTGAATTCCCCCTTTAGCACCACAATTACTAATTCCTTATTAATTAAAATAATTTAAATATATAAATTAATATACATTAAAATAAAATGAATGATTATAAATACCCAAATGTATCTTCATAGAGTTTTTATACCAGATTATAATTTTAAAAAATTTGAATTTTGACTGAGATTCTGACTTTTTCTTGGCAATGTTACACCCAACCGCGATACATAAGAAAATTTTGTTATTTTCCCTTTTTTCAATGACTGTGTGTATAATCTTCAAAGAGTGTCAGAACGTTAAGTATGTAATGTCAACTAGGAAGAAGATACTGACATTTCTTCTTGTGATTTAATCAATTTTGATGGAAAAAAGAAGGGAAGGGAATAAAAATTTATGAAAGTTCCTTCAAGCTGGAGATTTTGGGGTTGAAAAACTTCGGAGCTTGAAAAAAAAACTTTATATTTCGAACCAAAGAAATTATGTTCAGTCTTCCTAAAAAAATGGATTAAACCAGCATTTCTTTAACCGACATTGTTTTTATTTTAATACTCTATTTCCAAAGAAACGGCGCATTCTTTTTTTGAAGCAGATGTATCAAGACCTTTTGTTTTAAAACTGCAGAATCGTGTGTTACCTGCCTTCGAAAAGTTCTCGTTTCATTATTTTTACTAATTGGGTACTTGCAACTCAAGATGTGAAGTGATTATGCCTAAAATGATGTGATTTAAATCAAATTTAATTGGATACTTGTAAGTGACAACAGGCGTGTGCAGAACTGGATTGGCTTCTAAATCGACAAATACCAGGATTTACCCAAAATTACGTTACTTGAAATTATCCAATGGGATACCTGCAATTTACGCAGTGTGGCTACTGATTGCTTTTGTTTATGTTAGCAACTGTTCTTTTAATTATATTCAATGCATTCTATATTCTTTCACAAATATTTCAATTCTCTCTATGTATATTTCTTACTTTATATGCAGACAGGCGCGAAGTCTTGTGGAACTAAACATGCATCGAAGTTGCCAGGTACACAAATCAAATATATATCACAATTACACTAAAATACATAAACAAATTGTAAATGTACATTAAGTGAAAGACGTAGATACAAAAGTATATTTCAACAAACTCGGTGTATGAAACTGCGTTGTATTTAATTAATTTCACGTTAATTAGCATTCTAATGTGGAAAAACTTAGTTGTTGTTAATTTACGTCGCACTAGAGCTGCACAATGGGCTATTGGCGACGGTCTGGGAAACATGCCGGAGGATGATTCGTCCGAAGACATGCCATCACAATTTTGATCCTCTGTGGAGGGGATGGCACCCCCGCTTCGGTAGCCCGACGACCTGCGCGCGAAGTCGAGCACTTTACGGTAGCTCAGTTTAACGACGACCAATACCGCACACCCTCGGTCCCTACGCAGACTGATCCAAGTGGTCACCCACCCGCACACTGACCGCAGNTCATCATTACTTTCATAAAAGTTTGGTGAATTCCAATTTCTTCTTTCTTTTAAAGCAAAAAATCAACTTAAAATTACATTAAATAATTGTGGACATAGATGTTATACTCAAAACTCAGCTTTATAAGTGGATCTTGTTTTACTTGATAAATCATTTTAGCAAAAACGGTTGTATAAGTAAATAAACACATTTCTATAATTTATAGAGCCGTTATAATTATTTGAAAGGCCAAATGGCATCTTTCTGCATTAGATAATTCCTTTTAAACAGATGAGTACTAACGTGCCAGATCGCAAATTTTTGTCAAATAATGTAGTTGGCGAAGGCAAACGATCGTTTCTGTAATATCAGTGCTAATCATCTTCGATAATATCATTAGTGGTAGTAGTCGTAGAATCGTGTAATTTTTGTTAATCTGTTTCTTTTAACTACATTATTTGTGAACTTGCGCGATGTTCTACTAATGATTTAGTAGAATGTCCGTTGAATTCACCAAACGAAAAGGGTTAAAAAAGTAGTGCTAATATTTCGCACATACGCGTTGTACTAAAAATTAAATATATAAAAAGCCTTATGTATTCCAATAGCAATGCATAAAATTTTACTAGCTAGTATCAAAATCTGACAATCATGTTGATGTCATTCAGTTATATTAAACTGTTTTTAATAGTTTTTATTTTAGCTTATTTTGATAAATATTTACTTTTTCATTTAAAAGAAATATTAATTTGTTCAGTATCATGTTCTCCTATTTAGTACGAAGTTTTTTTTTATTATTTATTTTTAAATTTAAGCCTTAAGTTAAAACAAATTATTATTAAAAGAAATATTAATTTGTTCAACATCATGTTCTCCTATTTATTTTTAAATTGAAGTCTTAAGTTAATATTTCTTTTAAATAAAAAAGTAAATATTTATCAAAATAAGCTAAAATAAAAACTCTTACAAACAGTTTAGTATAACTGAATAGCATCAAAAAAGAAACATGATTGTAAGATTTTTGATACAGGATAGTAAAATTTTGTATAAATGTAAAACTATTAAAAAAAAAGTTAGGGATTTCTTTCAAATATGCTTTAAATGTGTATATAAGCGTTTTTAATTTAACTCTTTTTTTTCTCATGTTCTTGCGTAATAGATATGCGTAATAAGTAGACATAATGTTAATTAGCTTCTCAAGTTGAAATATTCTAAATTATAATGGTGTTGCAATGGAATAATTAATATAGCATCGATGAGGATAGTATCGGTAGTTGTTCGACATTTAAACAGAAGAACTCCAAGGCTTTTTCCAGAATTTAGGTACTTAACTCCACTCTCCTGTGTAAGTGTGAAGTATATAACAAGGGTTTAATGTAAGAACGATCAATCTATTTTGCTAATAAAGGTTGCAAAATTACTTTTATGTTTATGAAGTGGTATTAGCTATAGGTAAACTACCCTTTGTTTAATTATTTAAAGTTAAACTTTTCTTAGCCGATTCACAACTTTTTTCTACATGTGAACACAGGCTGTTTTTGCATTAACAATTCATGTATAAAATATATTTGCTTTCCTCGAAATTGCTTTCGTTAAAAATGGTTTATACGAACATTACAAACAATTCAAGATCAAATAATTTTGCTTAAATTTTAGTCTATATAAAATATTCTGTATCATATATTTCAATTGTTAAATTAGAACGTTTTTATTTAAAGGTTTTAATTATCAAACTATGGAAGAACGCAGCTCTAGATTTCGCTTTGATTACATTCCTAATTTGTATCAAGAAGGGTAAGAAAACTAAGAGTTACAATTGGGTATACTATAGCCTACGTCACAGGTTGTGTTATTCCTACTAAATTTAACCCATGAACGGCATTTTCTGCGAGCCTAACTTCAAGCCACAAATAAACAAACGAAGTGTTTGATCGTTTAAATAGCTGCTCGCCAGATTTTATTGCATTATAAAGAAAAGTAATTGATATTCGATTTTTGATTAATAATTGATTTATTTGGATAGTGGCATTTATGTGGATAGTGGCATAGAATTTAGCATTGCGTCATGGTAAATGTTATTCCTACTAAGTGGAAGTAGTTGTGTTTTTTTGATATTATACCCAATTGCAGCTCATTTAATTTGAAATAATATTGGAACGCTATATGTCTTTTTGTGCTAAGCAGCACTATCAAGATCATTTTCTGAAAATCTCTAAAAATATATTTTATTTCTAGAGGTTTGAGGAACCGGCTTTAATTTTCAAACGGAAAAGAGTGCACGATCATACCAAAAAAATATAGCGACAAGCTTGTATGAATAACTTTGGTTATCATAAGCAATAACTGCGCAACATTTATTAAACCTAGCTTAAATATTAATAGATTACATACATATAGTACATTTTAATGAAAAGTTAATTTTTTTCCTTTAAGTTTTCTTACTGTAACTGCAAAAAATATTCTATGAAATTAAACGAAATTTTTAGAGCTATTTTAAATTAATAGAAATATTTTAAAATTTGAAGAAAAAATAATTATTAGAAATCGCGCAAGATATTTGGTATCTTAAAAAAAATCTGATTTGAATATTGTGAAAACTTAAAAAGCTTCTAGCAATTTTCTAAGTGATTTTTGTAAATTTCGAAGGAAAACTATGAATGGTAGCGGATTTTTCGCGAGAAGCAGTGAGAGCTGTATTAAGATCACCGGAATTTGAATGCTGATCGTGAGAGCTGTATGAAGATCACGGTTGTGTGCGTGGTCGCTCCTGTGTTACTATTTGTAGCCGAGTGTGGACTGGCTTCGTTGTGTGTGATCGAGACTGTGAAGCAACAGTACGAGGAGGACTGTGTCTTAGTCGCAAATAGCAAATCAACTTTTCAATGTGGAACATTCATTGAGGTAGGCGTGTTCTAGTCGAAAGTGAGCGTTACTGTTGAGGTCATATCACATTCGAAGGTCATCAATGTGGGGAAAGTGATATCGATTATGTCAACCTCCATTTATCGAAGGGTACCACAAGGATTCGAGTTTACATGTCATATATGCTAGTGAATTTGAATTTAATAATTATAATTAATCGCTACTTTTCTAAACGAAAAATATAAAGTTTTTTTTTCATTATAAACTAATTTGTAGAATTTTTAATTGCAGGTTATGTTCTTATTTTGTTTTTAAAAGTTAGCAATTTTTGCGCGCCATATAAATAAAGTAAGATGTTAACAAAATCAAACTGGGTGTATGAAATACAGGGTTATTCATAATTCCCTCCGGGGTTTCGAAGCGTTATAGTAAAAAAACGAAGACGAATATGGCAAAAAAGAACAAATGAAATTATTCCGAAAATATTCTAGTTTTAATTTAAGCAGTTGCCGGTAGATGGCAGTAACAAGTACCACTGAAGCCAGTTGTAGTAAAGAAAAATGGCGTTTACATGCCGAGGGAATTATGAATAACCCTGTACATACTTAAAAGCAAACAAATATGGAAAGCCTACGTATGATCAGAGCTATTTCATTCTATTGCTACTGCAACTAAACCACATTGAACGGGTTTGTACTATATTTATGGACTAAGTAAAAATATTAGAGGATGCGATCTATTTCGTAGAGTTTAATCTTGCATTTCATTATTATATATTAAAGTAAAACTATAATTTGATTTACAGTTCCTTTTCAGTTTTTGTATAGCAATTAGAGTTAAGTGATATGCCGTCCTTTTCTGTTTTTGCATATTGATATTTATCTTTATTGCCAATAGTCCCCTGAAGATGTCCACAAGCAATGATTATAATTCTGGAAACTTGTATGGTCCTTTGACTACGCACAATCTGATATTGCCCAGACCCAATGAAATCCGAACTGTTGGAATGAAAGCAGACAAAGAGATGGGAGAACATATGCCATGGATGGCTCGACAGTGCCACTTGCAGGGAAGGGTGGACCATATTTTATGGCAGACATTGAAAGACAGAGGATCATCCTGTAATCACGGACATTTAGTTATACCGGATTACATCGTTCCCGGATACACAGGTAGATACATTGCTTGAATTGAAAGAGGAAAAAAGAAATAATTTCAGAGGATTTTCTAAACCTTCAACTGGAGTAATCTCTCTAAAAGATTTCCTATTTTGATTTAGAAATACAAACGAAGGGGAAAGAAACGTTTATTTTCTGTAATATTCTATCATTTTAAGAATTGCACATTAATTTATTTTTTGCCACTTCTATAGATACATTTTCATCACCATGTAATAGTTTTTATGTGCCCATATTATTCTAGCCTCTACCTTGTTCTTGCATTGTACCTCATCTTTAACCTACTCGACATAGGATCGATTGATCTCCACTCGAATATTCAATTTAGAATGGTAGACATTGTGTGTCACTTTTGAAGTGGGAGTGTGCTGATGTTTCTTTGAAACTAGTACAAGAGGGCGACGTTTTAACGGATTTCTCGAGGACATACAAGAGAGCTGGTATGATATTGGATTGGCATACAAAACCTGACATAGTGTTAATGGATAGACTAAAGTAGTGACAATGTAATAAAAAGTGTTCAATCTTAAATGAATATAATACCATAGAAAATAAACTAATGTTTATTAAAATAAATTAGGGTAAACTTTTTTAGTTTGCCTTCAGGTTAATCATTGTCGAAATTAGTTGAATTGTACTGTACTGTACTTTTTATTTACGTCACACTAGAGCTGCATAATGGGCTATTGGCGACGGTCCGAGAAACATCCCTGAGGATGATCCGGAGACAACATACATACGTTACATTCCGTTTTGCAAGGAGGACACACCCACACACGTTCCATCCATCCTCAGATCGTAATTTTGACCTGAACCAGAGCACGATCATTTTCCGTTCCAGTACCCCTTGAGGCATTGATGTGTCATGGGAACTTGGAGGGCATTGTGACCCCAACAGATATAGAATGCACTAGTACCATTTTGTACATGGGAAGTGTTCGTTCGTCGGGGATGGAACTCACGACCTCTTGCACTTAGCCTAATGCCCAACCAACCAGGCTACCCGGCCTCAAGATTAGTTGAACTACTACAATGGCTACATATTTTCTAGGGGACTCCACCCCTGCCTGTTGTGCTCACCAACCCGCAACCATGCAACTGTTTACAAGTTTTATGCAAATGTATTTGGTAGAAGTTGAGGAAATCTCTAAAAATAGATTGATTTCTTCTACCATGTCGGGGCTGTTGAATAGAAAGAAATTAATGATATTTGTTTATTGAGAAAAGGATCAAATAAAATAATAACTTCGTTTTTAAATTAAAAGAGATATGGTAGATAATTTTTGCATGGCAGCATCGTATATGCGGTCATATCGATGTTCAATTTCGTATTCTTGTAATTTTAAATCCGATCCTTAAGACAAAAACTGCTGGATAATATTGAGAGAAACTTTACTAAAAAACTCGATTTCGTAGAGGGTTTTGTAAAAAAATTTTTCGGTGAATTTAATTTACAGGGAGATTGAAATCGTGTAAATTTTCAACGGTTAGCACGATGGTAAAAAAAACTCTAACCCTTGGTCTGCCTACAACAGGGTATTGAATTTGAACCAGATTTGAAGGGTACGAGATTTGAACGTGGGGCACCTTATTGGTTGGTGAGCGCTATATTCCCATAGCTCTCCTAGGATTTGTTTCACAGTGCGATACTAGTCCTGAACTTTATCATTTTAGTAGAAACTATAAGTTGATGGTGAACTTATCCCCCTTTGTAACTAACCCGCTGTCCCATAAATATTTATTTAGAAATAATAATTTTTCGCTGCATTGTTATCTCTCTCATTGAAATTTACAGCTATCATAAACATTTTAATGATCTATGAATGCTTTTTGCACTCAACACGATTGCTGTTCACAAAAAAACCACTTAACTTTTTTTGTTTTAGGATGCTTGCATCGAAATCCCATGTATACCGGCTCAATTTTCAAGCGTTGTTGTCCCAATGCCAGTTATGATTACGATATTATCCAGAACACAAAGCCATATGAATCTCAGAACGTTTCCTGCAAACAAATTACACCTATCGTGCCTAGCCTTCGTTTGTGCATGGGACGGAAGGAATGGACCTGATGTAGTGACAAAAAATGGAAGAGAGATGATAATTTGCTTCAATGAACACTTCTTTGAACTATTTGTTTTGCTTAATCGATTTCACTTTTTTTTCTTTTTTGAATTAAAAATTAAAAAAAAGGGTTTGGTTATTCGTTGTTGTTGTTGACGTATGCCTGTTTAGGCAGAGAGGGTGCGATTGTTCTTGTTTTCCAGTGGCGCCATCTATGGCCAAGAATTCGACTTCTACCACACCATACGTCACACCCATTTATAGGGCGGACCCATTCATACATCCATTCATTCATCCACAGATCGTAATTTTGACCTGAATCAGAGAACGATCGATCTCCAATCCAGTAACCCCCGAGGTATTGATTTGTTATGGGAAAATGGAGGACTTTTGCGACTCGACAGATTATAACGTGCATCAGTCACTTTACTACACGGGGAGTCTTCGGCATGCGGGATTCGAACCCACGAACTCTCTGACATCGACCAAGCGCCCTACCGACCAGGCTATCCAGGCCCTTGGTTATTGGTTCTTACCCAATATAAACAGTTTAAAATTCAAATTATTTATATCATTGTTTCTCCGGTCCAGGGATGAATATTATGGAAAGTAATAAAAGTTTTATTTATGTAGAATTAAGCTTAGGATCAAAATATTTTTCACTGTAGATGCGAATAATCAGAAACAAACTGATCAAAAAATTATTTAAGTGTCGCAATTTTGCAATTGTTAAAATTATCCTTGAATCCAAATCCCTAACCTTACCAGTCCGTTATAAAATATTGAAGGTCATTCGAGTAAATAGGATTGAGAAGCACTGGTTTATATCACAGCATATCTTCAGAAGGGAATGTTTTATTCTAGCCGGAATAAAGCAACTTAAAAAAAGGAAAAAAATTCATGTAAAAAAGTTGAATGACGAACTGCTGTTTCAGTGCTATTAACTAGAAACATCAGTGCGGATAATGAAGAACTGTACCTCTTCGTATACTTCGTCACTTTTTATCATACAGAATTAATAGTGTTATATCCTCTTCATTGTGTCTTGACTTTGATCAATCGATGTGACTTTAGGCCGAACGCTACCAGCGACTCCAAGCTTGCAGTTACACCCGGCTTCTGACCAAGCATTTTTGATATAATAACATAACAAATATTTTATCAAAGTATAACAAATATCATTTACGTCGCACTAGAGCTGTACAATGGGCTATTCGTGACGGTCTGGGAAACATCCCTAAGGATGATCCAAAGACATGCCATCACAATTTTGATCCTTTGCAGAGGGGATGGCACCTTCGCTTCGGTAGCCCGACGACCTGCGCGCGAAGTCTGGCCTTTTGCGGTAGAACAGTTTAACGAGGACCAACATTGCATGGTTCCTACGCAGACTAATCTGAGTGGTCACCCACCCGCACACTGACAGCAGCCAGTGATACTTGACTTCGGTGATCTGCTGGGAACCGTGTCTTAGCGATCAGTCCACGGCGGCGGACAATTGTGAAGCAACAGTTTATTGGTAATATTTATTTATTCTGTATAATTAATATCTGATATATCTTTTGCCGATTTCAATACCAGTTACACTCGTTTTAGTAGAGGGTTTACCAGACATTTACGGTTTTCAGTAAGATTTTCTTCCAGCCTATAACATACTTGAACCTACAAATCTTTTTTTTCGTTCTGCAATCTATTTCTATGAATCTTTGGTAGCAGATAGTTCAGGCTGTCTATGGGGTTTTATTCGTTGTAGTAACCAAAAAGTTTAAAGCGCCTTTGTTTTCAGAGTTCATAGATTCGGCCTGGTTAAATTCGAAATAGCACACTTAACTCTTATTCTTATTCTTATTAAAACTTAAAAAAAAAAAAAATGCCACACGTAAAGGGCAAGTAAAAACTATATGGACCAAATTGCATTTGATTTTATAATTTAGACTTCTAGTGTGTGTAGGATTACTAGTTGTATGTATATTTAACTATTACATTATTTAATATATTATTATAATTTATCAAAAACTTATGATATCCATCAAAAAACTTTTGAAAAGTAGAAAAAACGCCAACTTCTAAGACTATTGTACAAAAAAGAAATACAAGTTGCTCAGCAATAAAGAAAAATCAGGTAAATTTCTTTCATAATAATAAACAAAAATCAAGACGAAGGACTAAAAAAGAAAGGATATTTAGGAATGCCGATTTCGGATATGAATTTTAGGTCATCATATCCCTCAAATAATTAATTTTTCGTATCAGTTGCTTAATATATTCTACCTTCATTTTATTTTTAAATTGAAGTTCTACTTCTATAATGATTCCGCATTTTGAGGTTACTAGTCTCAATTCCTCATAACAAAGCTTTCAAATCTCTCACAAAAGAAATCTTAAATAAATATTATCCAAATAAAAACCTTGCCAATAAAAACAAACCTGAAAATTGAAAGAACTTTAACAAAGATGGAATAACAAACATCCAAGTGTTGGCGGTGCTAATAATGTTTGAGGTCTTTCATTAATCTGAATTTACAACTTAATTAAAACGTTAAAAATTCTATTTGAAAGTGCTTTTATGCTGGTTAAAGCAAAAAGCAGCAGATAGTTAATTTTTATGAAGAAAGCATGTACTACTAAAGGACTTTAAATTGAATAAACTTCTTGACTAAACTCTAATCAAGCAAATTTAAGCTCAATTATAAATCGTAAAAACAGAAATAAATTAATTTAAACTACTATCACCAAACACTAACGCCCATTTATAAGAGTTGAACTTAAATTTAAAACAAAAATCAAGGTAGCACATATTTTTAAGCAGCTGATCGCAAAATTAATTATTTGAAGGATTTGTTGGCCTGAAATTTAATTGCGAGGTTCACATTTCTAGTTATCATTGCCTTTTTAGTCTTTCATCTTGACTTATGTTAAATAGAAATTCTCCCGAATTCTTTTTCATTACAAAGCAACTTGTATTTCTTTTTTTACGTAATAGCCTTAGAGGTTAGGTGCTTTTACTATTTACTTTTCAAAAGTTTTATGAGAGATTTATTATTCCTTGATATCATTTTTTATCTCAGTTCATGATACAAATATATGTATATATTTTAATGGCGGGCACTTGGAACTTTTGTCCATTGGCCTCAGAAAGTGCCAGAACTGCTTACTCTCTTCTCGTTACCCAGTGGGCACCTGTGGCGAAGCACGGCGGTGGAGCAGCGACGCCCACCTCACACAACCACAAACCCGTTTATAGGGCGGTTCACATTCACACACAAAGGAGAAAGGACATCTATGCTCTGAGCGGGATTCGAACCCGCAACCAACGGCTCCGCAGTCAGACGCGCTAACCACTAAGCACTCGGTCTTAAACGTTTTAGTCGAAACTCATGTGAAAATTAAAAAGTTGAATTGCTTTTGGTATCAATGCGCAAATGGATGACATCAGCTTTCAGAAATTCTACAAACATTACAGTGTTTAATCGTGACCTACGGTTTAATACACTCACTAACACGATAACTTCTTCAATTTCTCATCCGATGCACTTCAAAATTTCACTACATGAATACAGCTATTATGTAGTTTCCATTGATTGTTGTTAAATGCTTTTAATAAATTAACTGAGAAAAATACTAATTTTTTTAAGCACCGTTTATGAGTGTTTTTTTCTTAAATTATTATGGGGGTGTTCTAAAAAGTGAAATAAAAAAGAAGAATTGCAAGAAGAATTGTTATGAAAACATTGGATTTACTTTCATAATTTTTTTAAATAAAAAAAAAAGCAAAAAGATTTCAAACCTAAAATTTAAACAAAACGCAGAAATATGTGTCGATTATTCCCCCCCCTCTATGCCTAATTCC